CAATGACTAAAATGCATCTCATTCCTTACAATATATAAGAAAAATACATATATGTAACTAAATAACAGAGTTTTACAAAAAAAAAATTAGTTGGCATAAATATCAAGGAAGTATTACGTTAATATAAATAATATAGTTCTACAAATACCAGTTAGCATGATTCTTAGAAGCAGATCAAATACCAAAATACACTAGCCACCAGGCAACTATTGCTGAAGAAATATTCAGATATGGTGAGTGACAATTCAAACACTACAAATCTGCACACTAAACAAATGTACTTTTTAACTTTGTAATCTATGCTACAAAAATGGTTCTTTATACTATGTATGGAAGAATTTTTAACATAGAAGAAATCATATCATTCAACAAAATGTTGCACTTTAGGAAAGCTGACTTCCACAGCCAGAAATTTATGCTGATTTACCTAAATACTTAATAGAAGCAAAAGCAAAACAAAACCAATCTCTCAAAAATCTGTAGAAAACATATCTACTAATAGGGTAAAAAGAACTGACTTTGATCTCTCCAAACCTAGAAGAAACCATGATTTTTAAATATAACCAACTTTTAATAGTCCACCAGAACTAATTACTACCTTCAACATATTCCTTGATATGGTCAAGTAATACAAAGAGATCAACAGTAACTGCTGAATGAAAGGTTTAATTCTCCCACTTCTACATTCCATACACTGGTTGTGGGGTTTTGTCTTCATTTTTTGTACTGACTAGTGAACACACTCTCCAAGTTTTCTTTATTTTAATCAAGAATTCAACATATCACTTTGATTTGGATTAAAAATACACCGGAAGGTATAACACTAAAAATCACCAGCAAAGTAAAATTCTATAGGATTTTTGTAATAAACTACTTCCATTTTCCTATCTGGCCCTTAAGCTTCTATGTTCTACCTTATGTCACGTCAGTCAGAAAACCCTCCCAAAAACATATTCAAACTACTTGCCCAACAAAATAGGGTCCTGGATGTGGGGAGAAGGAGAATGAAACTTGCAACATGTGTTTACCAACACTCTCATCATATCAAGTACAAAGAAAATGTTTTTAAATAGCGTGTTGCTATCCAAAGAGCCCACAAGATCCATTTAGTAGCCAATTCCTGTGAGCGGAGAATTGCTACAACTGAAATTGAACTTTCATGTAAATAAAACAACAACAATATATGATTATACAATACTACTGGTTATATCAGAGACAGCATTTTAAATGGATATGGATAGAAAAAAATGGATATAGAAATATACTTTACATATACATAAAAAGTGACAAAGTACAATAAGATCAGTAATCTAAAGTTTAAGCTTTAAACATTTTGGTCAATGCTCTCCTACTCTTTGAAATGTTCATTCCATGGTATTAATTCACCATTAAAATAATAAAAATATAGCTGCCATAACAATGGCTGTAACATTTATTCAATGCTTGCTGTGTGCTAGGCACTGTTCTAAACACTTTATGTGTATTTACTCACCTAATCATCACAAATAACTACTCATTTATAATTCTCCATTTTACAGATGAGAAAACTATGGCATTGAGAAGCTAAGCACAAACACAGTTAATACATGGCCTCAGTAATTATCTCTTCCTTCTCAGTTTCTTTATATGAAAAATGAGTTCCTTCCTCCCAGCTTTACATTTACAAGCTAATATGAATGCTACCAAAATTCATATTTTGTTATAAAAAATTCATATTTTGCACACTATGGAATTTTTTTCTCCTAAAAGGATCCTCCATTAAATCAAAGGTCAACAAGCACTTTTTAAAATAACCCTAACTGGTCACACATTAAGTTATGGAGCCTGATTAGCAGCAAAGAAGGCCAAATTATAAAGTGAGCCAAATCTGACTTAACCACCTCCCCACTTTTCTAGAACCTCTGTCTCACCTGGTCATAAAGGCTATATTTTTGTACTTTGAAAGAGCTTATTTGACCCTAAAGAATGTGACAATTGATAAAAGATGTATGGTAGTTTTATAATGTCTAAAAATCCCTTAATATTCCTCCCTTCTAGAGGTCAAACTTAATTTCCCTCTCAAGTGTGGGCTGGACTTAGTGATACAGTTTCTAAAAGAATATGACAGAAGCAATGGTTTGTAACTTAAGTCAAAAATGGCACCACAGCTTCCTCCTTGCTCTCTCTTAGATAATCTGTTCCAGGGGAAACCAGCTGCCTTGTTAGGACACTTAAAAAGCCCTGGAAAGGTTCACATGCTGAGGATTTGAGGCCTCCAGCCAACAGCCATGTGAGTGGGCCATCATGGACGTAAATCCTTCAGCCACAGTTGAGATGACTGAAGTCCCAGCCGAGATTTTGGCTGCAACCTCCTGAGAGACCCTAAGATCGGAGGAAACCAGTTTACGCACTCCCAAATCCAGATCCACAGAAACTGAGATACTAAATATTTTAGACCACTAAATTCAGGTATGATTTGTTACTCAGCAATAGATAACTAATACAAAGTATGAGAAAAGTAATTTTGTAAGATATCTGCAAGTTATCTCTACCCTAATGGTTCATACCTGTCATGTTAAGCTAAACTACTGCACTCTACTCCCCTCCAACTTATCAAAAGATGAGGAGTAATAACACACCAAGAAGATTACCAATCATATGAGTGAATCATTTCCTCTCTCTACTATAGGTGGGAGTCTCCTGCATGAACTCTGTGGAGCAACCTCTACCCTGCCTCCTACAAAGGAGGATCTGTATCCATAATCATCACCACCTCCTTAACTCCTATCTCAGTAGAAGTCTATCTAAAGTACCACTGAACTGCATCCTCATATTCCACCCTTCCCGCTTAGTAGTGATTAATTATTCTCCCTCATTCCTCTGTCTTCAAATTTTATTTCTGATGGTTTTTTATCCTCAGCAAATAAAGATTATAAATCATATCACTCATACCTTTAGAAAACAAAAACTCTCTCTCAAACTCGTATCTCTAGCTATCCTCTCTCTATTCCACTTAAAACCAAACTTTCTGAAAGAATAAATGACATTAGCTATTTCAATTTTCTTATCTCTAACCCAGTGTGAACTGGCTCCACACATATAATTGTTCTTACTCAGGTCAACAACTTCTTGATGTTCAATGGATACTTTTCTTGTCCTCATTTTATTTGATGTCTCAAAGATGCTTAATATTCATTCCTTTTCTCCAAACTCAGTTCTTCCACTGACTTCTGTGATTCTCCTGCTTCCTTATCTACTCACTCATCTCCTTTGAAGTGTGTTTTCCTTCCATCTGATTTATTAGTGTTCCCCATCCTCATTTCTCTTCTTTTACTCTACATTTTTTCCCTGAGTGATCTCATCCAGTCCCATTGCTTTTAACCAGCAACTATAATCTGAGACTCCAAATTGTATGTCTCCAGCTGGGTGTTCTTAACTAAGATCCATATATACAACTTCCTAATGACATTTCTTTGAAGTCACAGATGCCTCATAACAGCCCCAAACTGATCTTCTCCAACCATGTTCCCCAATCTACTGTTCTTTGTATACTGCCATAGTAAATGGTGCCAGAATCCACTCAGTTTCCCAAGCCAGATATCATATAATTCAGTTCACTTATCTTTCAAATATTCATTAAACATTACTTATGTGCTTGAACATGACAGTGACCAAAAACTTTCCTGACTCTACTTTCCCTCAAGCCCATTAAATCCTACCCAGTACATCTCCTTTGCATCTATCTAATCCATCTCCATCCATAATTCCCATCTGCATCGCTGTACTTCTGGTTCTCATTTGCCACCTGGATTATTACAACAGCCTCTAAATGATCACCACTCTGCCAAGTTCATCACTCTCCAATTCATCACCAAACTGTTGCCTGACCATGTCACTTTTATTTGTTATTTACAAATTGCCTGAAATTTTCTCAAATTAAAGAGTTTTCTTTTTTTTTTTAAAGATTTTATTTATTTATTTGACAGAGAGAGACAACGAGAGAGGGAACACAAGCAGGGAAACGGGCAGAGGGAGAAGCAGGCTCCCAACTGAGCAGGGAGCCCGATGCGGGTCTCAATCCCAGGACCCTGGGATCATGACCTGCGCTGAAGGCAGATGCTTAACGACTGAGCCACCCAGGTGCCTCTAAAGAGTTAATTTTCTTAACCTCTCATGAAATTTTTTAAATTTCAACACTATCATTAACATGAAAAAAGTATGCTAAAATGAAGTCTCTAAGAATCCTAGTATCCCACTGTACCTTAAAGTAGCACTAGTGGAATACCTTCATTTATTAACTAAAATTATGAAAGACTTATTATAAATACAAACATTTACCATATGGGTAGTGCTGTTTTCCTAGTCTTTTACATAAACCAAAAACAGGTCTGCATATAAAACTCAAGAAAATGTATGGTATTTCACAAAAATATTACCTTCTAGAAAAAATCCTCTACTCTAGACTCTCCAGGGCCATGATAACCACTATTCTAATACTAAAAACCTGAAATAATGCCTGAAATAAGGTATATGGTTCTCAATAAATATCGAGGAAATGAATTAAGTTTTTCTTCATCATGTTTAACCATGTTTTCTACTATGCTCCATAGAACTCATAGTAAAAAATATACTTGAGTTCAATCATACCCAGTATTCTGAGAAGAACAAACCAAAGGTCAACTAATTTTCTTCATTTCTTTTTAAAACCCTTTATAACATAGGCAGATTAATGAGCAAGCAAAAGAGAGGAAAAAGTGTTGACACTTGATCAAGAATCAAGCCAAAGTTTCCCTTAGTTTTCTCCTGCCAATATATAAGCTAAGCACATAACTTAATTGTCAGATATCAACAATTCAAAAGTCAGGTAAAATGAATGGCAAGTCACGTTATACAGCCCCCCAAACCCCCACTCCTTGACCATTTAAGCAGGTTAAAACACAACTGAAGCAGAAAGTCAGATTTCCTCTACCTCAGCTTTAATTGGAAATTAGATTTTTTTAAAACTTAGCCAAAATACTTACCCCAATTTTTTTTTCAGAGTCTGCAATGTTGTTTTGCTTCCTCCTTATCTTCAGAAGGTCCACCTGCAGCGTTTCATCTTAACAAACCTGACAAGAACAACATTTAATCAACATACAAGATAGTCTGGCTATACCATCATTTTCACCACTTCAGATTAAATTATTTGATTACATGCGTGCAAATGCACACATGTGGAAAGTTTTTAACGTTACTCCAAAATTGCATTTCCTTCTTTAAAGTTTCCAAAGAAGAAATACTTCTAAATCTAGAATAAGACCAGTTTCCAAACTACACCATTCCAAAGGTTTCAAAACCACTACAACTACAATAAGAGCATGATTTGGGTAGTGAGAGGGTTGTAGAGGTCAACTCCTACCTTAAAAACATACTCAAGGGGCACCTGGGTGGCTCAGTCGGTTTAGCATCTGATTCGTGGTTTCAGCTCAGGTCGTGATCTCAGGCTCATGAGAGCAGCCCCACCATTGGGTTCCACACTCAGAGTCTGCTTGAGATTTTCTCTCTTCTGCCCCACCCCCTTGGTGCACTCTCTAAATAAATAAATAAATGAAATCTTAAAAATATATATATACTCAAAGTGTGGCCTTAAAAAAAGTTGTTCTCTCAAACTGTTGGGTCTTTGCTGGCAAGAATGATGCCTCAGTTTCCTTCCAATTCCAAGCACCTGGCACACTACTCATTTAATGAAAACCACTTTGAACTCTTAAGACACTTGGGAGATGATAAAGCATACTGATTAAGGGACTGTAAACTGGAGTCAGATTACCTAGTTTAAATCACATCCCTTGACTTTGGACAAGTTGATTTTTAGGGCTGTGCATTTATCTATGAAATGATAATGATAATGGACCTTACATGATAAGATTGTTACGATGATTAAATGGGATAACATGCATATGAAATATGTACCGCTCAACAATTATGTAAGATAAATGTTCTGGTTAATTCATCTATTTTTATGTTTAATGTTTATGGTTAACTTAGAATAAATCAGCTTCAATGCCATACAAGGAGTCAAAGCAGCAACATGAAACCAGTTGAAACTTACACGCCTGGATAGTTAAAAAAAAAACAAAAACAAAAACAAAAACCATGATTTCCTTTTGGAGGAAATTTACAAGAACTCTTTCCATTTAACAAGCGTCCCTAACTTTCTACTGTCAAAACTAAGGCAAATGGAGATGGGAGTTAGGTGTCGGGAGTGGGTGGGAGACAATACTCTGCAAAAGGAAAATCAACTTCCTTTCACCTTCCTTTGACCAAAGATAATGTTTCCGCTTAAATGTACTCTTCAATAGTGTAGACTCGGCAAGCACCAATTCAGAATACAAAACACTCCACGCCTGAATTGGAAAGAAGAATTCTAAGGCTCCACCGCCCTTGGTCAATCGACCCTACGTTAAGCAGTTCGGGTCTGCAGCATCCCAGAGCTGCTGTAAAGGCTAAAGCCGGAGCCTGCAGGTGCACTGACCTTCCCGCCCGCCGAGTCCACACACCAGCAAGTGGGCGCCGCCCACCCGCCTTATCACCATCCACAGAGGCCGCTCCCGTGTACGCGCCCCCAAAAATCTGACTACAATGGCCCTTCCAGGCCTTCCCACTGACCTCCGACACCAGGTCTACAGGTCCCGGTGCTGTAGAAGAAACTAAGAAATGAGTCGACACCGCAACAGACAACAGCGGTGAAGCCAAACCTCCAGACTCCCACCCGGCTGAGTTCCAGGGATGACGGAAAACTGCTGCTCACCCTAACCCAGCCCAGTCCGACCCCGTCCCCTCACCTGGGTGAGCGCCGGGGCGGCCTGGAACCGCTGCGGTCTCTCTCCGAGGGACGCCAAAGGCCTCGGACAGCGGCAGCAGCGCCGAGCCGGACCCGGCCCGCGAAGCTCTGCCCGCGCCCACAACCCTCTAACCCCGCCACCCCGGCCAGCTGCCACAGGTCCGGCCCGGGGGCCCCAGCCACTGACACAGAGGGGCGGAGAAGGATGGGAGGGGTCCCAGCCGGGGCCAGGCGTCACTGCGACTGCGTCAACTGGTAGCGTCACACGTCATGGCGCCGGCACGCCACCCAAACCCCACCCAGGAATCTGCGGCGACCCACCTCTTTCCTCTCCGCCCCTTTCCCTCCTCCCCGGGCTGGGGGTGGAGTCTGGATCCTGAGGCGGAGGTCAGGGGCGGGCTTGAAAAAATCACCTGCAAGGGGAACGTCAATGAATGGCCTTCCTGAGGCCGGGAGACAGAAGCACAGAAAAGAACAAAACGCTGACAAAAAGGAGAATCAGACCGGTGCTATGAAGTGAAATGAATCCGCTCGGAATAGAGAGTAATACTTTTATGACCTTATCAATACCGGGACTTTGTATGAAATGAAACTACATTGAATCAATTGAGTCTGTTATTGTATTAATGAAAAGTGGTTTGATGCTCACCATTTTTAAAGAGAAAGACTCTTCATATTGTTCAGCGGGTGAACCAATGCAAACGACTTTCTGGAGTTCGAAAATTATCTCAGATATGTTGCGTGCTTTTTATGTACGAATTGTAATAGGAAGAGGAAAGTGGAAAACAGTCTTAGCTCTATGGAAGTTTGTGATTGCTTGGGACAGATGTGGAATATGTACAGAAGACACTAGAAATGCACACAGGGATATGCAAGCAATAGCAAACAGAGTGTTAAGCATGGGCCAGGCACTGTTCTAAGCACTTTATATTTATTGATTCATTTAATCCTCCCCAAACCCTGGGAGATAGTACTCTTATTATCCCTTCTATTCCCATTTCACAGATTAAAAACTAAGGTACAGAAAGGTTAAATAACTTGCCAATTGTACCTTAAATACTAAGGTACAGAGAGGTTAAATAACCTGGAAGGCTAGGGGTTGAACCCAAGCAGTGTGGCTCCAAAGTTCATGCTGTTAAGCATTACTGTCTAATTTATCCTGCCTCAAGTTCTAAATGTCTAAAACTCTAGTTATGACTTCCTTCCTGAGCTGAAGTACTGTATCTCCTAACGTTTTCAAGTGGGAGTTTTACTCTTACCCTAAAAGAAACAGATGTGAAACCAAATATAAAATAAAGCCAGAAAAGGTTAAACATATGACATACCATATTAACCTTTATTGCATACAAGGAAATAGAGGCCCTGGCAGAAGTGTGTTATGAAAGGACTGGATAAAAGCCAAAAAGAGAAAAACATGCACCTATCTTAGTTACTTCCACCTTCTACCAGGACACACCTACCACCCTTATTTGAATTCCTCTTTAGAGTTTATTTCTCCACTTCTGCAAAGAAATTAATTTCAACAGATTTTTTCAAAATCTGGAAGAATCCCAGTCATTCTCAATTTTTGTTCCCTAGTAAGGCATCAGGACCCCTACATGAATTCAAGTTTGCCACAGCCAAACTACCAACTTTGCCCAAGAGGGAAACTGTCCCAGTACAAATTCTCTAGAAATCTAGAAATTACCTAGATGTGGTTCAGATTCCTCAAATCAAAACCTGAACTGAATTAAATTGCCCTGGAACTAAGGGAAGGAGGGAAGAGAGGAAAGAGAGAAGAAGGAAAGAGAGGAGATGGAATAAATCTCTAATGGCATAATTTCATGTACAATGAAAGGATTATTTAAGGATGAGAGGAAGTACTCTCAAAATAATCCACAAAGGTAGCCACCAATTTAACCAAATTTACATTGATATTTTCACCATGAAAATGTTTTACACTAGAGTAAAATAAAATGTGCTTCAAAAATTAAATATATACTAAGAAAATTTTTAAAAATTAAATATATGCTAAGTGCCAGGCACTTGGCTAATGCTTTATGGGTATTATTTCATTTAACTCGCACAAGCCCATAATGTAAATGTTGTGGATGAGGAAGTTTATAAAAGTTAAATAACTTGCCCAAGGTCACATAAGCAGAACTTGAACTCTCAAGTGAGTCTAACTCCAACACCTATTATCTTTCACTACTCCATACTAGATCCAAGTTAAAAAAAAATTCTCAAAATGTAAAACCACAACTAATTTACAGATTATTTTAAAACAATGTTAAAACAGCATACTATCTGTATTTTAATGCAAAAGGAATTTACTGCCACCAAATTCAAGGTGTTAAAGTTTTTTGAATGCTTAATTCAGGTTTTTATTTTTCTATCATCTAATAATTTCTTAAAACCGCAATGTCTTGATGTATAAACTTGAGTGTTCCTCAAGTTGTTATACACTTTTTATAACACCAGGATACCAAGTCTGAAGTCATTTCTCACACCAAATCATCATCATCATCAGTAATATTAGTAAGTCCATAAAAACAAAAAAAATCAATAGATTTCTGTATTATTTCACAATATACCTGCCAACTGAAATTATTTTTCTTTCACTTACCACTAGCCAATTCAGGCCACAATTCAAGCTTCTGTCATGCCAACTAGTATTTCAGGAGACACCAATGCTAAAACAAATCAATAAGATTTAAGTCAAATATATTTTAGGAAAACCACAATTACCCACTTTAAAGCTGATAAAAAGTGAAAGGAGCTGAACATGCATTTGGAAAGAGGAAATTTGTACATCTTTTGATATACTAGAAGAACCCAGTTTTCTAATAATGATTTGAACTTTAAAATAGCATGTAATGTCCTACAAATCAACAAGTAAAACCACCAACCCATGAGCAAAAAATATGAACAGACAGCTCACATACAAGTGGCCTAAAACAGTAGAAAAGGTGTTCTTCATTCTCATAAAAAGATAAAAGCCAGTTAAAGCTGCAGTTGAGGTACCATTGTTTTTCTTTTCAAGTGGCAAAGTTCAAAAAATTTTGATAACTCAGTATTAGAAAAGGCTTGGGGAAACAGAAACCCCCCATACCTTGCTGGTGGGCATGTGAATTGATTTAGCTTCAAAGGAGAGCAATACAGTAATATCATCTTAAAGCTGTCAGTGCTCATATGTTTTGACCCAGCAATTCCACTTCTAGAAATGAATCATACGGATATCTTCACACATGACCAAAATGTACAGGCTATCCATTGCTACATTGTTCATAAAAATAAAAGATTGTTAACAAGCAAGTAACCTTCAATTCAGAAGACTAGTTTATTTTTTATTTTTATTTTTTCAGAAGACTAGTTTAAAAATTATGGTCCATAGAGCTGCAAAAAAAATGTGGTAGCTATAAAAGCACTGATAGGAGATGATCTACAAAGCATACTATAAAAAAGGTGAAGAGCAAAAAATGTACATGTACCTGTGAAAACTAGTAATAGGCCCAGACCTACAAATCTGACTTTATAAACATATTGCTCAAAAAACTAAATTGGACAAAAGTTAAAATTTCTAGTCAATGGCACATAGTGTAAAATAGCATTTATATGCATATATATATACATTTCTTTTAGGCAGAGGTTATATATGAAAAAATGGCGAAGAAAAACTGGTATATTGGGGCACCTGGGTGACTCAGTCAGTTAAGTGTCTTCCTTCAGCTCAGGTCATGATCCCAAGGTCCTGGGATTGAGGCCAAATCGGGCTCCTTGCTCAGCGGGGAGCCTGTTTCTCCCTCTGCACCCGCTGCTGCTCTCTCTCTCACTCCCAAATAAATAAATAAAATCTTGAAAGAAAGAAAGAAGGAAAGAAGGAAAGAAAGAAAGAAAAGAAAGAAAGAAGTAAGAAAGAAAGAAAGAAGAAAGAAAAAAAGAAAAACTAGTATAGACTACCATTGGAAAGGAGAATTAAGTGGATATCCTGGGCCAGGATGAGTTTGTAGAAAGATTTTTTACTGTATTTTTTTATAATGTCTGAATTTTGTAATGGGTGTATGTGTTACCTAAAGTAAAATAAAATATTTCAGTGAAATATGACTATCTTTTTCTTTGGCTCTCCCATCAATTTTTACTTTCTTCCTCCAGACCTGAGATGAATTTACATTTTTTTATGTTAGTTTGCTAAGGCTGCCATAACAAAATATCACAGAGTGGGTGGCTTAACCAACAGAAATTCACCTTCTAACAATTCTGGAGACTGCAAGTCCGAGATCAAGGTGTCAGCAAGTTTAGAGTCTTCCGAGACCTCTCTCCTTGGCTTGTAGATAGATACCTTCTTGCTGTGTCCTCACATGGTCCTTTCTTTGTGCAAGCATGACCATGGTGGCTCTCAGAGTATCAAGGACACCAGTCACATTGTATCAGGGCCCACCCTAATAGCCTCATTTTAACTTAATCACCTCTTCAATGTACATATCTCCAAATACAGTCACATTCTGAGGTACTGCAGGGAACAGGGGAGGTTAAGGCTTCAACATACGAATTATGAGGGGACACAATTCAGTCCATAACATTTGACAAACAGGATCTTTTCCTAGAACTAGTCTATTTTTCATTCTTCTACAGTTCTCTGAAATAATACATTCTATATACCTTACTTTAAAACTCTTGTTGGAGCGCCTGGGTGGTTCAGTTGGTTAAGCGTCTGCCTTTGGCTCAGTCATGATCTCAGGGTCCTGGGATCGGGCCCCACGTCAGGCTCCCTGGTCAGGGGGGAGTCTGCTTCTCCCTCTCCTTCTGCCTCTCTCCCTCTGCCCCTTCCCCCCCACCTCCCCCAGCTTGTGGTATCTCTCTCTCTCTCAAATAAATAAAATCTTAAAAAAAAACCTCTTGCTGCTCTTATTTTCTATTTTATTATCTTGTTCATTTATTCTTATTATTCTTTTTAAAAAAGTATAACATTTAAAAATTTTTGTAAATTATCTCTTGATCTTGGGTGTGTTCCAGAAAAGGCTGAATGAAGGTTGGAGATTTTTTTCCCTCATCCCTTAGTATTATTCAAACCCTCTCTTGGCATGTGTGCTAGCCTAAGTGACAGAATCTTATCTCTCTAATAAACTCTCTTTATTGCCTTTGTAGTTACAGTCTTTCTGCAATTCATTAATCATTTATCAGTATATCTCAGTTCATCAGGTCAATGTGAAAAAATTATTTTGAAGTC